TCAATTTTCGTTATAGATCCCAGATATTATGATTAAATGACATGATCATATGTAGATAAGTCACGTGATGACGCTACGATGGAAACGTTGATATGAAAATAGTGGAAGATGAATGTAATTATAAAATCAATGGTGATAAAGCAATAAAGGCGATGATGATGATGTTGATGATGATAATGCTAGCAAAATAAAATAATGACATCAATGATGATAATGATAATGATAAGTATAAAAATACGATTAAAGATTAATAATGATGATAATTATGAGAATACGAATAAAGATGATGATAGTAATAATAATAATAATAAAACAACAGTAATAATGATGATGATGATGATGATGATGATGATGATGATGGTGATGATGATAATGATAATAATAATAATAATGATAATAATGAAAGTAAAAGCAGTAACAATGATAAGGGTAATGATAGTAATGATAATGGTTATACTGGCAATGATAATAATGGTAATAATAATAATGATAATAATTGTAATGAAAATAACAATGATAATAGAAATAATTATAATGATAATATAAATAACAATAATGATAATGATAATAATGATAATAATAACAGCACTAATAACAATAATAACAATAATAATAATAATAATAATAATAATAATAATAATAATAATAAAACCAAAACAACAACAGCAACAACAACAACAACAACAACAACAAAACAACAACAACAATAATGATAATAATAATAATAATAATAATAATAATAATAATAATAATAATAATAACAATAACATTAGTAGGCGGCCCAGCACCTCGCGCCGCCAGCCAATCACCTTGAGCTGTCTCGCCACAACCCACGGTGATTGGCTGACAGGTGTGAGATACCTGTCCGTCTCTCTCGTCTAATGAGACACCTTTTCCCAGCTCTGGGGTCGCGACTCCAAGTGGGGTCGTCAAATGATTTCCCTGGGGTCGCCAAAAGAAAACATCAGACAAGGTCAGTTCTCAATTTTTGAGATGTTTCCAGCACATACGTGGTCACATATTGAGTAAGAGCTGATGGCTAAATTCAGCGTGATTATTACACAATAAAAAATGCAGTGGAAAAAAAAATCCACTGGAATTCTGACGAAACTCGAACTAAAGAAAATATAATCGTCATTGTGGATTTTTCTTTATCGAAGTAATTATATGTCTATTGAAGAATATAAATCATACAATATAATAGAATAGAAGCCTATAGCCTATACATTGTAGATCAGACAGGGGTCGCGGTCTCGTCTGAAGGTGCATGATTGGGGTCGACTGAAAAAAGATTGGGAACCACTGGTCCAAAATGTCCCAAGAATCTTTAAATACGAGCGACTTTGACTTAATCATAAACGAAAAAATTGACAAGAAGAGACATTGGACATACAACTAACATTTAACATCCAGCAGTTAACATTTAAACCGTATACAGTTTAATACGTATATCAGCTTAATCCATTTCTTTGTTAATTATGAACGCCCATGATAGCTTTGTGATTGCTTATGATATATCATAATGAAATAGAAATATATTGTAGAGACACTGATAAATTTTGTATCAATATTATCAGCAACTGCAATATTTATGATATTGACGATGAAAATGTTTATACAAAACACAAATAAACTGCAAATGTTAATGATTATACTACTACTATTACTATCACTGCTACTACTACTACAACTACTAATGTAATAAGAAATAATAATAATAGTTATTATGATGGCCATGAACATAATAATAATACTCATGATGATACGAATAAAGATAATGATAATGATAGTGATGATGATAACATAGTAGTAATAATAATCATGATAAAAAACGATAATAGTTATAATAATAATAATAATGATTATAACAATGATAATAACAATCATAGTAACAGTAATAAAATTGATAATGACAACGATTCTGATAACAAAACTACACTACTACTAATGATAATAATGATAATGATAATAATAATAATGATACTCATAATGTATGTAGTGATGGTTATAAAACTGACAGTAATAATAATAATAATAATAATAATAATCATAGTAGTTGTATATAATAATGATAATGATAATGATAAAGATAATAGTAATAGTAATGATAATAATGATAATAACAATAATGATAATAACAATAACAATAAGAAGAATATAACCGATAATAATGGTTTTAACAATAAAAGTAATAATAGTCATCATCATAATCATCACTATCATCATCATCATCATCTCCATCCTATTCCTCCTCCTCTTTCTCTTCCTCCTCTTCATCATCATTATCATTACATCATCAATACTCCTACCATCATAATGATAATAACATTAATAATAATTATGCTGATAATAATGATAATGATGATGATAATGATAACAATAATAATAATAATAACAATAATAATAATAATAATAATAATGATAATAATAATGATAATGGACAATAATGATACTGATAATAATAATGATAGTAATAATGATAATAATAATCGTGATGAGG